ATGTATTCTAATAGCTGTGATATCTTCAAACTCATAGATCAAGTAGACCAAAAAATTAGAAGGATATGAAACTTGGAACCACATAATTAAACAAACTGATCCCCTGAAATACTTCAACTCTCTAACAGACTAGTCACTTTTTAAGGCATATATAAAATTACAAAAAGTTGGGCCACGTATAATACTAGACACAAAGGCAGTCTCCAATCAAATACTAAAAGATTAATAATTGTGTTATGCTGTTCTGGTCATCATTCAATTAAGCTAGAGACACAGGAATGGGGTAACAAACCAAAAACGTTTGAATTATAAAAACAATTCTAAATACTTGGTCAGAGAATAAATTATGATTGGAAATAGAAATTTCTAGCACTATCTGGCTCCTTGCTGACTCGGGACCACACCAGAAATGCTCCCATATCAGTGTCTTAATGCTGCTTTTTTGTGTATTTAATCATGCCATGGAGCTAATGAGATACCTTAGGGAAAATTTATGGTAGCTCAAGCCTGTAATCCTAGCACTCTGGGAGGCCGAGGCAGGACTGCACAAGGTCAGGAGTCTGAGCAAGAGCGAGACCCTGTCTCTACCATAAATAGAAATTAATTGGCCAACTAAAAATAGATAGAAAAATTAGCGGGGGCATTTGGTGCATGCCTGTAGTCCCAGTACTTGGGAGGCGGAGGCAGGAGGATTGCTTAGCCCAGGAGTTTGAGTTGCTGTGGAGCTAGGCTGATGCCATGGCACTCTAGCCCGGGCAACAGAATGAGACTCTGTCTCAAAAAAAAAGGGCAAATTTATATTCTTACATGCTACTATAAAAAAAGGGGGGGGGATAGATTGAAAATTAATATGCTATTAAAAATTTTAGGAAACCTATTAGCAAAGTAAAAATTTTTTTTGAGACAGTCTCATTCTGTTGCCCGGGCTAGAGTGCCATGGCATCAGCCTAGCTCACAGCAACCTCAAACTCCTGGGCTCAAGCAATCCTCCTGCCTCAGCCTCCCAAGTAGCTGGGACTACAGGCATATGCCACCATGCTCGGCTAATTTTTTTTTCTTTTTTTTTAAACAGCCCAACAATTTTATTACTATCACACGAATTGACTGATTTGTCATAGGATCTGGAAATCACCAGTATCAGTATCAAGGTCGCTGTCCTCAAACTGTAATTTTTTTTTCTATATAGTTTTAGTTGGCCAATTAATTTCTTTCTATTTTTAGTAGAGACAGGGTCTTACTCTTGCTCAGGCTGGTGTTGAACTCATGACCTTGAGCCATCCACCTGCCTCAACCTCCCAGCGTGCTGGGATTACAGGCGTGAGCCACCACGCCTGGCAGCAAAGTATCTTTTTAAGCAATTCCTGCATTATCAAGTTTGGTTTATCCTTGTTTATCCAGGGTGGTTTAATATCAGAAAATCCCCTCATGTCATTGACAACCAAGCCACCAGCTACGGTCATGTGGGTTGTCAGCTGAGCTGCCAGGTGTCAAGGTCGTCCATTAAGACAAGGAGCCAGGCTGGGAGGAGCAGTGGAGTCTTCACTTTCTCAGGGCAGTAGCATAGGCAAGAGACTGCACAAGAAAGGATGCCAGCTCCCCACTGTCCCATTCTCCCCCGTGGAACCGCTCAGTGAGGGGCAGATGAGCCAGCCAAGAGGAGGAAGAATCCTGAACAAAAAGCTCTTATGGGCTCTCGATGTGGACCTGTGGGCCTCGGGGAAGGGGCTGAAGGCTTAGAGGTGGTAAAGTACTAAGTGGGATTGGAGAGAAGTGTTTTTAATTCCCACCCCTATCCCCACCAGTGATCTCAGAAGAACCTTCCTTCCCCATAAGCAGCCTTGTGAATAGAGGAGCCCTGGCCAGGAATTCAGATGCTGCTGGTACTCGGGAGAGCATGGCCAGGCGGGGCTTCGGCTGAGCCCTTGCCAGCCCGCAACTCCCCCAGACTGTAGCTGCTGGCTGTGTGTCCAGTCTCCTGCAGGGAGGGCAGCCTCCACCACCAGGGCTGCCGGGCAAAGCCTTTGTAATTGCCTCTGGTCAGGCCTGGAAAATCCACACATGGGGTTTTGGCCTAGAGCCAGACTCCTCGCAAATTCTAACACATTCTAATTTCACAGATTCTAACCTGCATATGGGCATCTTGCTAAAGGATTGCATGGGACTGAAATCCAATTCAAGTTTTGCTGCCAAGCTGTGGACCCTGGCACGGGGCTGCGTCTGCCTGGAGGAAGGAACGCTTTTGTCTAATTTCACACAAAGGTACTGTGTGGGCTGCCGATGGCCCTGTTCACATCAACAGATGAAAGAATAACTATCTTACCCAGTCCTCGATCAGTGCAGAAGAGCATTGATAAAATTCAATGCCCATTATGGTTTAATAAGAGAAATCAATAAACTAGGTCTAGAAGAGAATCTTCTTAACCTAATAAAGCATATCTAATATAAATCTCCAGCAAACACCATAAAGAAGAGACAAGGCTTAATGTTCATTTTTTTTTTTTTGAGACAGAGTCTCACTCTGTTGCCCAGGCTAGAGTGCCATAGCGTCAGCCTAGCTCACAGCAACCTCAAACTCCTGGGCTCAAGCAATCCTTTTGACCCAGCCTCCCGAGAGCTGGGACTACAGGCATGCACTACATGCCGGCTAATTTTTCTACTATTTTTTTAGTTGGCCAATTAATTTCTTTTCTATTTTTAGTAGACATGGAGTCTCACTCTTGCTCAGGCTGGTTTTGAACTCCTGACCTTGAGCAATCCCGCCTCGGCCTCTCGGAGTGCTAGGATTACAGGTGTGAGCCACCATGCCCGGCCTTAATGGTTCATTTTTAATCATTTTCCCTCTGGCCCCTTAGACCCCACTGGGGCCACAAGCTGTCATTTGCGGTTGGCACTTGAACTTGGGAAATAAAATCTGGGTTTGGAGGTAGCGTCCAAATGCCTGCAAAGTCATGTCGCTGTAAGGGGACGTTGGTGGAAGCCTGGGAGCTGAGATGAGGACAGTCCTGAGCCCTGAAGCCCATTGGGGAGACCCCGCTCACCCAATCTGGGTTCCCAATGCTCTGGCCCTTTAAGAAGGGCTAGAACTCGGGAGGGGCTTGGGCCCTGGTCTCCTGGGAACTGAGGGACAACAAAAGCAGCAGAGATTTGGGGAGTGTGGTGGGGACCCTCCCCAGCTGGGGTGACACACAAGACAACGACTAAGGCCAATCAGGTACAGCAGAGGCTGGGATGGATGGCACAGTCCCCTCTTAATGGCCTGGCCACCTCTGTCACCTCCCCTTCTCTCTTTTCTTGGCCCCGCTCTGCTCTCTGCCACTCCCGCCACCTTGGCTCCACTTATGGACACAGTTCTTGCTTATAAGGGTTTCTTAGTTGATTTCCTTGACTTTGTGGGTTAAAAAACAAATCAAATATGCTGCAAACAATGATAATTTGATCTCATCAAATTTCTAAGCTTTCCAGATTTTATGTCTTTTGGTCAACTGGCTTTTGCTAAAACCTCTAGAAAAATGGCACATGCTAGAGGTGCTGGGAGATAGCCTTGTCTCTTCCTGAATATAATGTGGGACATCTTCTTCAACCATGAATGTCAAAGCATAACCCAGAAACAGTTAGTTCGTGGGGTAACCAACTCACAAGTACCCTAAGGAGGCAGCCATTCAATTCTTATCAAGGAAACAGGCAAAAATCAATCAATCAATCAACTAATCAATCAATCAAGGAGGGAAGGAGGGAGGGAGGATTTATAGGGGGAAAGGGTGCCAGCCTAGGACGACTGAATGTTGGTTTTCTAATTAAGGTGATTAGTTGGAGGCTGTCAAAGAGGCCAATCTGGGCAATTTATTCTGGAATAGATTGACTAGATCATTAGAGGGGGGAAAATTCAGTTATATATGGATTTTACAGTCTTGAGAGTGCAGGACACATGACAGGCTGGCTCCAAAGAGTGGCTGTCAGTCCAACACTTGGCATCTCCCCCCCCAGGATCACCCATTTGTCTCGGCAGAATTTCTATGAGAGATAGACTTCCATTGTCACTGCTAGTTTGAGAATATTTATCATTGCCATTACAGTTTATAGAATTTTCTTGTCTTAACATTTGCCCTTTAGGATTCTACAGATATTGTTCCATTGTCTCCTGGCATTGAGTTGCTAGGAAATTCTGCAAGATACATAATTTTTTCCCTTTGTATTCTGCCTAAATAATGATAGTAGTCTTTCTTTTTTTTTTAATCCCTGGGGAAAATAAGCTTACCATAATCTGTATCTGCCTTTTATTTATTTATTTATCTTCTAGAACACCATTTTACTTTGCTAAGCCATTCTAATCTGTAGGTTCACATTTTCTTTTGTGGCATTTTAATTTTTTTTTTCCTGTTCCAACAATTTTGTTTTCCGCCTCAGGTATACCAATTATCCATATATTAGATCTCCAATGCAGGTTTCTGTATTTATATTTTTCTTGAACTGCTTCAATCTCTCTGGCTTTTAAAAGAAATTCCATGTAAGGCCGGGTGCGGTGGCTCACACCTGTAATCCTAGCACTCTGGGAGGCCGAGGCGGAAGGATTACTCAAGGTCAGGAGATTGAAACCAGCCTGAGCAAGATTGAGACCCCATCTCTACTAAAAAAAAAATAGAAAGAAATAATGCACTACATATCCTGCCGAGGCGCGTTGCGGATGGTGGCCCATGCCTGTAGTTCCCACTCGCAGGCTGAGGCAGGAGGATCGCTTGGGCGAGGAGGCTTGAGTTGTGTGAGCCTAGGCTTGATGCCACGGCTCTAGCTTTGGGCAACAAAGTGAGATTCTGTCTCAAAAAAGAAGTTCCATGTAGTTTTCTATGTGGAGTTTTTCATGTCTGAGAGTAGCTTTTATTCACAAATGACTTCTTATAGTTATTTAGATGTTGTTGTTTTATAAAAATAATAAATTTAAATATCTAATTTTCATTAGGTTTTACATTTCAATGTATAAATATTATGCTTTTGTTTATATATATTATATATTATTATATTATATATATATTATGTATTAGATATATATTATATATAAATGAGTACAACTTAGGTAAACTCAAGATGATAGAGCAAATTTTACTTAAACATTTGGTCCCAGTTTTATTTATATTTAGTAAGTTATTAAACATTTCACCTGTACTTATAAATTTCATATATCTGATATTCTTTTTTTTTGAGACAGAGTCTCAGTCTGTTGCCCAGGCTAGAGTGCTGTGGCATCAGCCTAGCTCTCAGCAACTCAACTCTGGGCTCAGCATCCTGCTGCCTCAGCTCCTGAGTAGCTGTGGACTACAGGATGCGCCACCATGCCGGCTTATTTTTTCTTATATATATTAAGTTGGCAATCTAATGTCTTTCATAATTATTAGTAGGACGGGTCCTTGCTTTTGCTCAGGCTGGTTTCGAACTCCTGACCTTGAGCGATCTGCCTGCCTCGGCCTCTCAGAGTGCTAGAATTACAGGCGTGAGCCACTGCACCCCGCCTGATATTCCTTTTTTTAATTGAAATTTTTATTGAGAAAGTTATAGGGCCCCCTGAAATTGTGAGAAATAACATGGAGAGATCCCGTGTACACTTTACCCGGTTTCCCCCAAAGGTAACATCCTGCAAGCTGTAGTACAATATCACAACCTAGAATCGACATTAGTACAATCTACTAATCTTAATCAAATGTTTCCAGTTTTACTTACACTCGTGTGTGTGCATATCTAGTTCAATATAATTTTATCCCATGTGTAGGTTCATGTGTCAACCACTGCTATTTAAGATACTGAACACAAGGATCTTTCCCAACTCTTTTAGTCACCTTCCCACCCCTCCTTCCTTTGGCATCTGAAGTGGGAGCTCCTCCTTTCTTCGGGGTGGGGGAAGAGTTCTGGGTCCCCAAGAGACCTCTGCAGACACTGTCCTGGCTGGGAGGGGAGGAAGTGCCCAGTGGCTGCTCCTCGTGTTCGCTTCATGGATACCAGGAGGATGGAGTGGCCTCACCATCTCTAGGTGGGGTGAAAACCCTGCTGTCCACGAGGCCTCCTCTGACACCACCCCCATAGAGAAGGGGAGGGGGTGCCTCTTTAACGCCAGGGACAGGTGCAAGTCCAGGTTCCCCATGGGTCTCTACTGATATGGCAAGGAAGGGGGCTCCTTACTGCCTAGAGGGACAGACCTCCAGCTTCCTGCTTGGCCTTCTCTGACATCATCTTGGCGGAAAGGTTGCAGTGCTCGCTACAACCTGGTGAGGGCGACAGTCTAGGCGTCCCTCTTGGCCTTTGCCTGTGTGGGTGGGGACGCTGTGTGTTTGGGGTACGGCAGTCATTGTTGCAATGTCTTCTGTCCTGCTAGGCTGCCCCTTTCCTGGCTCTCTGCCTAGAGAAAAAGGGATTTTGTTGGAGTTTTGCTTTTTTTTTGTGGTTTTGTGGTTTTTTTTTTTTTATTTCGGCATATTATGGGGGTACAGATTTTAAGATTTCAATAAATGCCCATTCCCCCCCCCCCAGTTTTGTGGGTTTTTGTAAGTCCATATCTCTTGGTGTTGATGAGTTTGTGGCTTTAAGTTCCAGGTCTGGGGGTCTGAGGCATAAAAAACCTAGGGGACTTCGCATTTTGTCGTTCCTTGGATGCTGAGGGCCCTAGCTGGCCTGCTTTCTTTCAGAATCTTATGTTTGTTTTATATATAACATCCAGGATTTTAGTTGTATTAAGTGGAAAGCATAGAAAAAGCATGTTTACTTCATCTTCCCAGAAGTCCTGATTTTCTTTTTAAGCACATCAAATGAATCACCCAGCAGCTTTGAAGCAAAACCTTCCTATGTGCTGTACTTATAAACAACTGTCATTGATCTAAAATATTGTAAAACCAGTTCTCTTTAATATTATAACACTGTTTACAAACTTAGTCCAGTTCTCTTACATCCTGCTATTAAAATTGTAAGTCTGATATCCATTTTACCTTTTTTTTTTTTAAGACAGAGTCTCACTTTGACACCCGGGATAGAGTGCCGTGGCATCAGCCTAGTTCACAGCAACCTCAAACTCCTGGGCTCAAGCGATCTTCTGCTCAGCCTTCCGAGTGGCTGGGACTACAGGCATGCGCCACCATGCCAGCTAATTTTCTATATATTTTTAGTTGGCCAATTAATTTCTTTTCTATTTTTAGTAGAGACGGGGGCCGGGGAGGGGGGTCTCACTCTTGCTCAGGCTGGTTTCGAAATCCTGACCTTGAACGATCCTCCTGCCTCAGCCTCCCAGATTGTTAGGATTACAGGTGTGAACCACTGTGCCAGGCCATTTTACCTTTTAAATTAACCTAATTCATTAGAGCAGGCATCCTCAAACTACGGTCTGCGGGTGTTTTTGCCCGTTTGTTTTTTTACTTCAAAATAAGATATGTGCAGTGTGCATAAGAATTTGTTCGTAGTTTTTTTTAAACTATAGTCCAGCCCTCCAATGGTCTAAGGGACAGTGAACTGGCCCCCTGTTTAAAAAGTTTGAGGACCCCTGCATTAGAGTCTCTAATATGCCAAAACCACGTGAACATTACAATGACTTTAAATAACAAACATAAATGGGACATTCTTAAGCTTTACCCTTCTGGGGATGGAAAGACGCTTAAACATGAAGAGAACAGTTGTCATCTCAAGCAAGCTGAGGTTATTGGGCAGACAATTCAATCCTGTATTACCTTCTCTGGTGGGTTACAGCTGCTTAGAGTGAGATGTGAGACCAGGACACAGACTCTAAGGATGCAGTTGCCCAAGGTGATCTTGCGCATGGCAAAGAGAGTTGCACTCGGTCGTTATTTAGGGTCACTGTGGCTGCAGGGAACTCCAGGTCTACCCTTCAGCTGGGACTGTTTGCAACCCCACATCCCCTGGCTTCAGTGCTTTCACCATCTTTCAATCACGCCTCCCATTCTGGGTGATATTCAATAGCACACATCCGGGCTGCTTTTCCCCCAATTGGCTCCAACTAATTTATTTAATTCCTGACTTCTGTGTCTGGCTATTAACCATGGGATTTTTTTTTTTTTTTTTGAGACAGAGTCTCACTCTGTTGCCCAGGCTACAGTGAGTGCCATGGCATCAGCCTAGTTCACAGCAACCCCAGACTCCCTGGACTCAAGCTATCCTCCTGCCTCAGCCTCTCGAGTAGCTGGAACTACAGACATGCGCCACCATGCTTGGCTAATTTTTTCTATCTATTTTTAGTTGGCCAATTAATATCTTTCTAGAGACGAGGTCTCGCTCTTGCTCAGGCTGGTCTCGAACTCCTGAGCTCAAACGATCCGCCCACCTCGGCCTCCCAGAGTGCTAGGATTACAGGCGTGAGCCACCACTCCTGGCCTGGCCACGGGATTAAGACAATTCTAATGACATTCTACAGATAGAGAGTCTTAATCTCATTTCAGAGCAGGGGCTGCCTGGCAGTCAGATTAGGGTCCCAACCCTACACTTCTTAGCTGGGCGACCCGGGGCCAAACCTCATTTTATCTCCCTACAACATGGGCAATAATTTTCATCTGAAAGGGCTGCTGCCAAGATGAAAATGCAGTTTGTTTGGCAAGCTTTATGCAAATAGTAATTATCTTGGTTTTCGTAAGCCTTTACTCCGTGTGGCTGATATGTTCTCAGCATTGTTGGCGCTAGTTTTTGCTGTTCCCGTGATTGCTTCTTTCACGACTTTCCTGACAGTTCCCTTTCATTTCAACCCATTATCTATCCATTGAACATGGAAATCAGGCTTTCTTTGACTTCTTTGAGAGTGTGAAGCACTTGTTAACTGAAATTTTCTTCTGTTTTCTCAACAGTCTTCTAAGATATTCTTATCCTGTGTCTTTTTTCCTGATGTGCTCTTTCTTCTTCTTTTCTGTAGCAATTCTGCCCGTCCTCTATATTGCTTTTGTTGTGTCTACTTGCCTTTTAATTGGGACCATTCTACCCCCACCTGCTATTTACCCCCAAATAATGTGGACAGATGTGCTTCTAATTCCTTCCCCCCATTTACCTGGCATCCCTAGATAACCTTCATCCACCGCGTGGGCCTGGGTGCTGGAACCTTTTTATCCTGTTTGGCCTCTGAGTTACCTAAAGAGGGTGTGGCAGAAACTAGATTCCTGGGCAGCCTTCCTGTGAGGGCTCATCTCTCTGAATTTGCCGAACACCTGTATGTTGAACCAGCTCTCAAGAGGTGGGGGCTTGGATTTTCTTCCTGGGTTTTGGGTTTGTTCCTCCATTTTGGGGAGAAACAGTCACTCTGTTACCAAAGCTGGGCCTTTGTTTTCTAGGCCAGCATGTGTTTTTCTCCCAGGTCATATCTGGTCATCTCTGGCCCATAGGTGCTAAGTGGACTTGCCTCTCAACCTCCTACCTCCGAGCAAGGGAGCCTGGTCAGATAAAACAATGCCATTGTGCCAGCCCCCACTTCCATTCAGCCAGCGTGGGGAGCGGGTGGGGCTGGCAAAATTCGTCTTATCTTTTTCTCTATTTCTCTGTCCCCAGTTGACTTTTTGAGGGACAGCCCTTCCTCCCTCATCCTGCCTGTGTCTTACTGCGGGACCCACTGAGACTGCCCCGCCCCTGTACCAAAACCTGTGTCCGTAAGTGCCCTTAGCTCAGGGCCCGGCTTTGCTGTGAGCTGCTCTGGGCTTCTGGATTCAGGATGGCCAAAGGCTTACATTTAACATTTTTCAGGGAACAGGAGAATTTCAGCCATGGTCTCCTAGAGTACACACAACAGACTGTCCGATGGCAAGAATTTCAGGCTCCATTTAAGGTGGATGCTGGCATTATCCCATGACAGTGCCTGCCTGACCCAGTTACCCACAAGCCATCACACCTTGTCAGTGACCTTGCCGTGTGAACTAAGACGTCTTTACAGGCTCCATCAGTGAGGGAGGAAGGAAGAAGGAAGGGCAGTGATGGGCAGAGGGTGCCGAATACTTGGTGTTTGGAAACTTCCTTCCTCCTCATGCCTCTGTTAAGTCCCTGGGGAGGTGAGTGGGAAAATCTAGCACTGCCACTACCTAGCATGTAGTATTTAATGGCTGCTCAGAAGTGCTTGCTTAACTTAAATGATCCTAGAAGACAGTGTGCCGTCACTGGGGGAAAAACGCAGAGCTGACCTTGGAATCCGACGCACCTTTGCTCAAAGCAAGACTCTAGAATTTAGTATCTATGCAACTTTGGACAAGTTATTTCACCTTTCTGGGGCTTGGTTTTGCAGGGAATGTAATACCTAGTCGCGTCGCTGTGGGAGAAGCGGTGACGTTTGTGTTAGTGGCAGGTGCACCCAACCCCCCTCCACCCCCATAGATGACAAGCACGCGCCCCTCTCCCGTTTCTGCAATAACTCCCCCAGGCCGCGCGGTGGCGCTGTGCCTCGCAGAGCCCCGGGCCTCTCTCGGGCGCGCTGGCCCCCGGGGACCCTGCGGGCGGCTGCGACGCGCAGGCGGCCGCGGTGAGCGCGGCGGGCTTGGGGCGCTCGCCTGGGCCCCTGGCTCCTGGGTGGGGAGGGGCGGCTGGGCGGCGCAGGGCAGGTCCCCGAGAGCCCGTGGGCGCCGGGGCGGGTGCGAGGCCACCCCCCGCGGCAGTTCCCCGGGCGGGTCGCTGAGTAGGAGCCTCCGGGCCATCGACTGGCGGGGGGCCCGGGCACGTCACTTCCCCGCCGCGGAGCCTGCCTCCTCACTTGCCAAAGGAGGGACCTTGGACCAAGAGGTCTCCAGGGCCCTTTCGGCACCGGCTTGCGGGGTCAGGGCGGGTGCAGGGTCTGTGCCCTGATCTGCGGCCCTGCCCGCCTCCCCTGCAGGCTCTCCCACCTGTCACCCTGGCCCTTCTCTGCCTGGACGGTGTCTTCCTCTCCTCAGCCGAGAATGACTTTGTCCACGGGATCCAGGAGGAGTTGGACCGCTTCCTGCTGCAGAAGCAGCTGTCGAAGTAGGCTGGTGTGAGGGCGCCCGCCCTGCTGGGAGGGGCAGGGTCTCTGGAGCCACCTGTGTCCCTCCCCCTGGTAGTGCATCCCAGGGAACTGGCTGGCAGCTGGCCCTGACCTTGCTGCATCTTTCCTTTGTAATTCCCAGCACCCCCACCCCCACCCCAGATGGAGGGGCCCGACTTGGGGATGGGGATGAGCCAGTGGCTCCCTGTGACCACTCTTGCCCAGCTCTTCTGCAGTCCACCCGGGACCCAACGGGGCAGGAGGAGCCTGCTGTTAAGCCACAATTAACCTGGGAGTGGACCTGGTAGAAGTCCGGCCTCAGGGGCTAGACCCGGACCCCGGCTCAGCGCTCCTTCCCGTCCCTTCCCAGGGTTCTTCTTTTTCCCCCACTCTCCAGTCGCCTCCGGTACCTGATCCACAGAACAGCAGAGAATTTTGATCTCCTGAGCAGCTTCTCTGTTGGGGAGGGCTGGAAGAGGAGGACGGTCATCTGTCACCTCGACATCAGGTGTGTAGCCTACCGCCATGGATGGCCCTCAGCAGGTGCGTGTGGCTGGTTGGGCCAGCTGGTCAGCCCCTGGGAGGGCAGAGCTTGGCAGGAACCAGGGCTGATGCCTCTGTCCCCAGCCCCAGCTGCCTAAAGTCAATGCTGCCCTTTGCTTCGGCAGTGGCGTAGACAGACATTGTGGTATTCGCTCGGCAAACTCAGCTATACGTATTGGGCCAAAAGAGAGAAAGAGAGCAGTTTCAGTCGGGGGAGGGGGGGCGTCTGCCCAGCATTCCCAGAGAGATCAGGGCAGCGGAGAATCCCCTGCTGGGCGTTTAGTCATCTCTGTTCCCATGTGCGTCTCTCAGGATGAGCATCTTATGGCAATGACTTGGATTATAGTGCTTAAAGTTACTTGTTTTTCTAATAGCATAGCTCCTACCTGCAAGTATTTACCTCATCACTTGGTGCGTGACCGGAGGTCTAGCCATCTCTAATTGGGGTTACAGAGATGGCATTCAGCCTCCACCATGATGCCTGCCTAAGGGATTTTTGAGGATCCTTTGGGCTTTGGCTTCTGCCTAATGCTGACTTGAGTGTCACACCTGAATAACAGGTGGCTCCAGTAAACCATTTTCCTTGGGTCTCCAACACACTCTGACCACCTCTTTCTGTTCCTGCTCCAGGGTACCCAGTTCAGATGGCCTCTCTGGCCCCTGCCGCCCTCCTGCGTCCCACCCTGGCAAGTACCGTGGTCCTCGGCCTACCTCAAACCAGGGAGTGACTGCTGGTGCCCGCGGTGCACGGGCTGGCCGGTGGCATGGACGCAGGCCGGACCAGCCTTTGTATGTGCCCCGCGTGCTGCGCAGACAAGAAGACTGGGCGCTGAGCTCTACCCCGGGGCTCAAGGGAGAGCCCCCAGCTGGTGGGGTCCCAGAAGAGCCTAGAGAAGTTGGTGCTGGGGACCCCAACTCTGATCAGGGACTCCCTGTGTTGGTGACTCAGGGAACAGAGGACTTAAAGGGCCCAGGCCAAAGTTGCAAGAATGAGCCACGGCTGGACCTGGTTGGTCCTGAGCCGCCAGGGTATAAGAGTCCCTCAGGGAAGGGAGACATGGTGGAGAAGGCCACACAGCTTGTGTCCAGCCTGCAGCTGGGCCTGGAAGCAGGACAAGAGAGTCGGCTGGAGAAGACTATGGTGGCAGAGGAGGGAGAGGAAGAAGAAGTGGAAGAGGAGGGGCCTGGCAGCTGCTCGGAGGACGATCACAGTGAGCTGCTGCAGGAGGTGATGGTGCTCTTGAGCCCAGAAAAGGGAGGGCGGAAGTGAGGTGGGTGTGGCCGTGGGCGGACGGGCACCAAGGGAGGGTGGGGTTGGGGTGCAGGGCTGGGTGTTGGGTGATAGGGTCCCTTAGGAAACATGGGGGTGTGGATTTGGGTCTCAGCTCGAGTGTTTAGGAGCTGGTTGACCCTGGGCAAGTCATTTTGCTTTCCTTAGTCTCAGTTTCCCCGTCTGGAAACAAACATGATAATACATGTTTCTTGAGGTAACATAGATAGAATGTGCAACTGCTTAGTCACATGCAGAAATTGGTCACAGAAATTACTCTTCTGCTGGAGGCCTTGTCTTACAAATCTTCTTTCCTTGGAACCACGTGTCTGCCCCTCAGACTGGCTGTGGATTTGGTTGGGAGGGTGGGCATCTTTTATTGTCATTTTATTTGTGAAGAACGCAGACTAGAAAGACTTGCTCAATATCACTTCGTTCACCAGGGAAGGGAACATCTCGGACTTGCCCAGCTCTGTCTCTTACTGACTGTGCAACTTTGGCCAAAATTGCTTAACTCTTAGACCTTAGTTTCTCCATCTGTAAAGCAGGGATATAGAATATAGTTTTCAGGATTATATGAAACATGTGTGTAAATGCCGGTCACCCAGTGGGGACTGCATATTAAGTAAGTGGCCTCCCCTGAAACCCAGGCTTCTTGACCTTCCAGCCCAGACTCCCTGCGGAGCTCAGAGTGTGGTTTAGTTGCTTGGAGTGCTGTGTGTCAGGGTCCCTTGCTAAAAGGTCTGATCTCTGCAGATCATGGACAACCTGACTGAGAAGGAGATTCAGATAGAGAAGGTCCACGTGGACCTGTCCTCCTTCGTGGAGGAGCTGCCCGTAGAGAAGGACTTTGCCCACGTGGTGGAGATCTACGACTTTGAGCCAGCACTCAAGACTGAGGACCTGCTGGCCACATTTTCTGAGTTCCAGTGAGTGGTGGCCGGGGAGGCGGGGTGCTTGGGTTTTGGGGAGGAGCAGAAACGGGGTGTGTTGCCTGGACGCTGTACTCCTGGGCAGCCTGCTGTCCTGACTGGGGAGGGGAAAGCTGCATTTTTGGTTATAGACACATTGTGGAGGCCCTAGACCTGGGCCGGTCCCCCTGCACGGCCACATGCCTGCCAGGACCCCGTGAGACCCTCCGTCAGTCTCAAGGGACAGGGCAGCCCACTCGCCTCCCCGAGCCCCACCTCCTTGCAGGCTGTGGGCCAGCTCGGTGCAGGGACGGATTCTGGGGTGACCTGAGCCACCCTGCAGGGCGGCGTGGAGGTCAGGATGGAGGCCAGAGGGCCGTGTTGAGACCGACTTCCCTTGTCTTCAGCATCCCCAGATTCCTTTGGCTCCGCCTTCCTGTCTTCTCTCCTTTTTTCTTTTGCTTTTTTAAAAATTCTCATTTTCCTTTCTCCACTTTCCCTTTCTTTTCCTGCTTTGGCTTTTTAAACTCTCTTTCTGCATCCTGACCCTGTTTCCCAAAACCCTCCCCTATACTCCATGCCTGAGCTGGAGGGAAGCCGGGGACAGCCAGGTGGGGCATGGCTTGCTCTTCTGTGGCTGGGCCAGGCCCCGGTGACTTCCTTAGCCAGGGTGGCCAGTGCCGCCATAGCAACTGGGTGGGCCCACACTGTCTTTAGCTTCTAACAGGCCCCGGGGTCTTCGACGTGCTTACTTGAAGTCCTGTCCCCGTCCCTGACCACAGAGACTCCTGCATCCCCAGCCTCAGACCCCACACCTTTGGCCTGCCTGTGACAGGGCCCATGGGGACCTGCCTAACACATTAACAGGGGTGCCTTTGTCTTTCTGAAGCTGACCACATGGGCTCCAGAGAAAGTTTGCTGTGAATGGTTGTCTCCTTCCCAGGGGAGATGGGACCCGGCCTTGGGCTCCTGGTGCTTGAGGACAGGAGGTGGGAGGGGACTTGCCTGTAGGATTCGGAGGGGAAAGGGTTTGACCACTTGCTTTCCTAAGTGCTCTGTCGCCTCCCCACACAGAGAGAAGGGGTTCAAGATTCAGTGGGTGGATGACACGCACGCTCTCGGCATCTTTCCCTGCCTGGCCTCAGGTAATGCAGCTCTCAGTGGGCTCGGCCCTTTTGCTTTTTCCTGTTGGGAGGGGAAGGACCCCTGGTTCCCCAGGTGGAGGTCACCTGTCTCACAGGTGCAGGCCTGAGCCAGTGGACTCCCAGGCGCTGCTTTCAACCAGTCCAGCCCAAAGTCCTGGGGAGCCGAGGGGACCTGGCCCAGAAGGTCTGTAGTGACGTCTTAAGTAACAAGCCTCCTTCTTGTGTTAGTGCTTCCTGTTGTGTTAGTGCTTTCAATGCAAAGGCTTCAGACTCAGGTAACATTTACTGCACAGGTGTTGCAGGCCAAGGCCTAGGGACGTTCCCATATTAAATGAAACCATAGAAAAGTACTGTTTTATAGATCAGAAGTATGCAAATACTGGTAATTTCATATGTTCATGCAGGTGCATTCTCATTTGGTTTTCACTTCAGCCTTAAGGTGTAGGTTGGGTTTACTTCCAATTTCTAGAGGGGGAGACTGAGGGTCCGAGAACATCAGGGCCCACTCCAGGTCACAGAGCCTCCACGTTAAAGCTGGGGATGCCACGCAGCCTCCTGGCTGTGGCTCCGGTGCGCCTGTCCCCCTCAGCCACTTTCCTTCACTGCCCTACCAGCACTGCTCACTCTGGGTGTGATGTATAAGTAGCCAACACCCCCTACCCAGGCTGGGTATCCCAGACTAAGGCCTTCTGAACGCCAGCGCTGTCGCTGGCGGGGCCCAGTCCTCACGAGAGCCTGAATGGTCAGGGAGGGGCGGTGTTCAGGGAGGGGACGGATTGGGGTGAGGACTCCAACTCCAAGGAGGGAGCTGCTGAGAGGAAGGGAGGCAGGGCGGGAGGCTGAGAGGCCGCCGGTGCCATGGAAGGATGCGCTCTGGCTGGGGATGTCTGTGGCCATCTTTTGGATTCTGCCACAAACTGTGTGGCATAAGCAGGTCGTGTCCTGGCCTCAGTTTCCTCATCTATAGAATAGTGGGCAGCTCGGACCCGGAGCCCTCCCAGCTCTGGCCTGCTGTGCTCTGTAAATATCCGGGGGGGCTCCATGGCCAGGCCTGACTTGGGGCAATGTGTGCATGTTCCCAGGAGGGTCTTAGTTGTGTAAAGGACTGTTTTAATCGCCAGGCAGGAATCTGCCTCTCTGACATCAGGATCACAGCCTCACTGGGGTGGCTCCTGACCGGCCGGGGTGTCCTCTGCATGTGGGCGTCCCCGTGCAGGCCTGCGGGTCTGGGGGACAAGACAAGCAGGTGGCAGTTGTCTCCTGCCCAGCCAGGATGGTGTCATAGCAGCCCTGCCCTGGGCTTTGAAGGGCTGCACGGTGCTCCTGCAGCAGCTCCGGGTGCTGCTGGGTCATGGGGCCTCTCCCGGGGGGGGGTGGGGTGGCTCCAGATGTGCTTTCCTTCCACAGCTGCGGAAGCCCTGACCAGGGAGTTCTCAGCGCTCAAGATCCGGCCCCTCACGCAGGGAACCAAGCAGTCCAAACTCAAAGCCTTACAGAGGCCAAGTAAGGAAGTGGCTGACCTTGGCGGGAAGCTGCGGGGGCGAGTGCGAGTGGCTGGGGCGGGGTGGGGGCTTCCCCTCTGTTCCTTCCCCTGCCTTCACTTCTCTGCTCCTTAGCAGCCCCGGGCTAAGGCAGCTAGTGGAGCTGTGCCCCCCTCCCCAGAGGGTGCCGAGGGCGGGAGACCCCCTCTGAGTGGCATCTTCTGCTCCCCCGGGGAAAACTTGGTCTTCCTTCTGGAGGGAAACCATGTCCTGCAGGGGAAACAGGAGCCTGGGCTCTGAGGTCAGCCCTGGGTGTGATCCCAGCTCTGTTACTTATTTGAGTTGACCTTGAGCAAATCACTTGGTGTGTGAGTTGGTTTCTTCTCTGTAAAGGAAGCAGATCATGCCTGGAGCCCTAAAGGCACACAGAAGGTGCCAAATAGGTGTTAGTTCCTCCACTTTCCTTTTCTCTCCAAAAAGCTTGGGGGTGTTTAGAGGCCAGTTTTCCATGACTGGGAAGTAATAAACAGGCTGGGGAGAGGCCTGCTGAGGCCACCCCTGCTCTCTGGGCTGGTTACCTGGCCCCTGTCCCCGGCTTCTTGAAACAACCAATATCCTGTCTGTGGGTCCAAGAGCTCCAAGTGTCCCATCTGGACTTGCTTTCCCTCGCAAAGGGCCCTGTAAAGCAAGGAGGTGGCAGTGTTAACTCTCCCACCCTACTGTAGACATAGAGAAACAAGGGGGCCAGAGGTGACAGGTTGGGTCGGGACCCCTCAGGGAGCCCTATGCAGGCCCCTCGTGTGAGCATCTGGCCACTGTGGGCACAGCTGGCCCCAGCCAGGGGACATTAGAGGTTGGCTCAGGTGGCCTGAGGCTGCTGTCGCTGGGGGAGAGGTGGCCTTGAGTTCAGCTCCCCACCGTGGGGCTTCCCTTCTAGAACTCCTGCGTCTGGCGAAGGAGAGGCCACAGACAAACACGGCCGTGGCCCGGAGGCTGGTGGCCCGGGCCCTGGGGCTCCAACACAAGAAGAAAGAGCGGCCTACTGTCCAGACTCTCCTGTCGCCCTGAGGCCCCAGAGGCCCAGCCGGACTGGATCCCGCTGGGGCTGAGCTGGGCCCCAACACCACAAGCCTTTACAGACACCGGAGCAGCCCAGCGTCACCGTGGGAGCCTCCCCATGGGGCGTGGTGGGCTTTAGCTTCATCTAGTCCCAGAAATTGAGAAAAAATAAAAACTTAAGTTGTTCTAGTGCAATTGCTTCAAAATGTAATGGTCCACGGTGTGACACTAGGGGGTGCTGTCCTGCTTCCCACCGCAGGCCGTGGCTGCTGAAAGAAGAGGCCACTCAGGAACCTGGCCCGGAGGATCCCAGCTGGCCTCGAGGGCCATTGTGCATAGTTGGCCTGTTTTGGAGCGTGGGTTGCACCTGCCCTGTGATACCTGCCCAGATCCCCCAACAATTCAGGTGTCCCAGCCCGCCGGCGTGTGCTGCAGGGCAGCTCTGGGACACCTGGGCTGGCCCCAGTGGTGCCTGTCGCTGTGGGTTACACCAAGCACTTGCAGAAATAAACACCAAGCCAGGCGGTGAGATGAGCCCGTGCCAAGTTTGCCTGCTGGGAACGGGTGTGAGGCATCTTTGTCAGGGTGGCGCCCTCATTTCTTCTGGTTTGGGTGGAGGTGGTGCCAAGGTGCCCCTACCTGGACCTTTGAGGTCACTGTGGACGCTCTGACTTGCCAGGCCCCAGCGTGCTGGCAACACAAGCGGGAGACCCGTGTCAGGGTGAGAGGAGTCTGGGGCCGACCACCCCACTGCCGCCAGCCAGGAAGAGCTTGGAGCCCCCGGTCTGCTGACTGTTTCAGTCTAGGTGTCCCATCTGCTGCTCACACTACGGGACCACCTGGCAATTTCCAGTACAAAACAGCAGGAGTTCAAGAAAGGTTACAACTCGTGTTCTTATTGATTTTTGTGATCTCCTTAGACTGCAGCTCCCAGAGGTTGCACCTTTTCTACCGAAGGAAGCCACGCAGCCACACAGGACTGCAGGGCACGTGGGAACCCATCTCCACGGGAGGGAAACTGGAAATGTATCCAAGCTCCGTTTTGGGCAAGTGAACACAGGAATTCTGCTAATCAGGGCCCTGTGCAGTGGTTCAAATGAAACACGCGTATCATACGTACATCATACATTTTTTTTTTTTTTGGAGACAGTCTTGCTCTGTTGCATGGGCTAGAGTGAGTGCCGTGGCATCAGCCTAGCTCACAGCAGCCTCAAACTCCTGGGCTCAAGTGATCCTCCTGCCTCAGCTTCCCGAGTAGCTGGGACTACAGGCATGTGCCACCATGCCTGGCTAATTCTTTTATTTTTAGTGGAGACAGGGTCTCACTCTTGTTCAGCCTGGTCTCAAACTCCTAACCTCAAGCCATCCTCCCACCTCGGCCTCTCAGAGTGCTAGGATTACAGGCATGAGCCACTGCACGCAGCCTATTATACATGTTTTATTGCAATTTTCAAGTATGTGTAAGTGTCACTGATGACAGATGGTGTTCGGTGAGCGTCCTGTCACGCAGCACCCTGGGGATAGCACCGCTGAATCAACAACCAACAGAACTGGAACAGTAGAAACAGGAGTCACTTACACAGGTGGGCTGGTTTTTCTTCTGAGCTGTATTTCCAAAAGTCCAGATGCCTACTATTAAATGCCACTAAATTTCTTTGTGTTTCAAAGTCTGTGAAAATATAATAATGGTATCTTGAAAAATATAAGGTGGTGGAGAGAAAAGCATCAACAATGAGCTCATGTAATCAGGAAGCATGGCGGCATCATTTATATATGTGACAATGCGAGAGAAGCACCAGCTCTGAGCTCATTTAACACATTGACTGCCATGTGAGTTGTATTTAACTCAGGCTAGTTTTGACCTGAGTGTCATGAAGCAAAACCCTACAGCTGGCTCCTGAAAATCTTACTTATTGATGTTCTTATTGTTACTACTAATATGGTAACAATATGCTTCAAATAATATTGCAACAATGTTTTGATAAATTTGCAACAATGAATGTTGCAAATAATACTATAATTTGATTCTAAAAACATGGATTGCATTACATAATAACTCATGCACAGAAAACAGTAAAAATTAACAAACTAGAAAGGATCATTTTGTTTTAATAAAACACCGTGGCTCCAGGGGAAAAATTTTTTTTCTAGTACGGCAGTCAAGGTGTCAGTCAGAAAGTGTGGCTGCATGATGTATATATGTGTGTATATAATAACAGGCTAAGTAGAGGCAGTTGGTTTAGTTGGAAGAGAGGTCCAGGTATTCAAGTTTGCTGGAAATAACTTAGGAGACATGGAGTTCAGCCTGTTCACCTCTAGGGTTGATAAGCTCACATCTTCCCACAGGTAACTTGAGAACTGCCCCGTGTTACCTGTGTTGAGCGGGGTGGCTGCGCTGGGACAGGCTGGTGGCCGCCTGTGTGTGGGCCTGGGGTCCTGGGCAAGGCTGGCTCTTGGTGCTGCTCCCATAGCCTGTGGACAAGCCCCAGGCCCCGAGGCCTCCCCAGGCCTTACAGGTCAGGCAGCAGCCCCGGTGGATGATGGGACTGTCCTCTTCTTCCTGAGCCTCCTCGGGGTCTGGATGGGGCGACTGGTCGGACTTAGTTGTTGGGAGGAGTCCCAGGGAAGATGTGGTGTGGCCCGAAGACAGGAGCTGACCATGGAGGCTGCTTTTCTTTTCACTCTTTCTCTTTCCTTTTTTTTTTTTTTTTGAGACAGGGTCTTGCTCTGGGCACAAGTGATCCTTCTGCTTCAGCCTCCTAAGCAGCTGGGACCACACACTGCTAATTTTTTTAAAAAATATTTTTGTAGAGATGAGGTCTTGCTGTTGCCCAGGCTGGTCTCGAACTTGTGGCCTCAAGTGATGCTCCCGTCTTGACCTCCCAAAGTGCTGGGATCACGGGCGTGAGCCAGAACCCAGCCCACAGTGGCGTCTTTACTGTGGGGAGAGCTGGTTATTTATGAGTCCGCTGAAATGCTCAAACTTCTTTTCTGTCTCTTCGCTGAAGGAGCCGCCTGCAGAGTAGGAATTGGAGAAAGAGTTGGTGCAAATCAGAAGCTTGGCCCTCTCCTGAGCAGGGAGTTGGCCCCGGGGCTCTGCTGGGGCCACCTCTGTGACCCCACGGGGGCAGGGACTGGGTGCCAGCCATCTCCAGGAGCAGGCACGTAGCAGGTGCTGTGTCATGGCTGAGTGAATGCACATAGTGCCTTTACTTTTTACCTTCACCAAGAGTGAGGGCTGTCACTTTTCCTGCAGAGGAGAAAGCTCTTTCCCTCTCCTTCTCTAAGTCTCATGATCCAGGGAAACTGTCTTTATTGGACACGAGAAGTGACAGTGGTTTGCTGGCTTCTAGTTCGTGATTGGGAAACCTGATACACAGAGCCCACAAATTGCTACACCCACATTTTTGAGGCCACGTGCATAATGAGTTAGTGGCCTCAGCTCCAGCCCTTAAATAGCCTTGGGGTCTGCCCTGGGCTGGCCTGGTTCGGTGCCACCCTTCCTCTGTGGCCAGAGCTGGCTGTAAAAGCTCAGTCTCCACCCAGGCCTATGTGTCTACGGCATCCTTCCTGAGCGTGGACATGTGACACTGGCTCTATGCCCCAAGCTCTTTTCCCAAATTAGGAAGCTGCCTCTGCTTCCTCAAGAAAGTAGGGCAGCGCTGGCCTGTTTCCCCGAGGGTGGGCCGACAGCCCTGGGCAGGGAGGGGCGGCCGGGGCTTACCTATGTGGCAGTTGTACATCCAGATTCGGTGGCCGTCGTAGCGGCTCCTACACTTCATGATGTTGTTGGAGTAATCGGACTCCGCAACCTCGAAGTTGGGGTTAATGACAACCTGGAGGAGAAGGCAGAGGAAGCCGTTGGTCCCCCGCTTGGCCATTTCCACCCCAGGCCTGGGGCCCTGCAAGACCAGCTGGTGGCTAGAGCTGGTGACCTCAGGGAAGGGCAGGTGCTGGGATCCAAGAGCCGAGGGAGAGACAGCCCAGACGGGTCTGTGGGTTCTGGCAGAGCCCTTGGGGCAGAGATGAGCTCAGGGAGGCAGAGGGAGTGTGGCCTGGAGGAGGGAGACCTCACGCCCCTCTGTCTTTCTCAGTTTTGAGTCACACTTACCCCCCTCCACCAAGGCCGTCAGAAAGGGGTCACCCCCTCCTGGAGCTCTGGGAGATGCCGCAGAGCAAGACACTGGAAAGGCATAGAAGGGTGAAGGTGCCAAGATGGGTGGGGAGCAGGGAGATGGGACGAGTCCCAGCTGCGTGACTGTGGACACGTCCCTTCCTCTCTCTGGGCCTTGGCCGGCTCTGCAGAGCAGTGGGTTGGGCTAGGCCATCGAGCCCCTGCCTGCCCTGCGGGTCCAGGGCCTGTGCTGGGGCTGCTGGTGGAGACTGGCCCCTGCCCCCGTCCCTCCACGTCTCCCCAGCTCAGCGGACATAGCCCAGAGAGCAGGAATAGGAAGGGCTGTCATTCCAAGAGCGGGCTGTGACAAGCCAGAAAAGGGGAGATCTGGGGTGAGGAACTGAGGAGAAAAGAGCAAGAGGAGGGCGGTGGAGGGTCAAGGGGCAAAAGCTGTGCCTGGCACAGTGGATGAAGGTGCATAGGACTCGAGGGTCCTGCCATATTGGAGGGCTGTGACCTCAGCGGGCAGGTTGCTTGCTAAGGAACATTCTCTAGATTTGGGGCCCCAGAAGGGCCAGGACAGACCGCTGGGACTGCCCAAAGGGATGCGGTGGAAACCAAGGTCAGCACGGCACCCACCCGTGTCCCGGCCCCGGGTGGGGAGACCTTTCTGTCCTACACAGCAGGTGCTGCGTCCAGCGGCTCCCCAGGCCGGGGCTTTCCATGCCTGAGCTCCGTGTTGGTCCCAAGGGACATTTTCTTTTTGATGAATCCATATTACCATGCTCCTAATGAGCCCATTTGCTAAGTGCATAGTTTGGGGATGGACAACACTAAATACAGAGCAGGTGTGCCCGAGTCCGCCTGCCTGGGACATGAGCACAGTAGCGATGCCCCTTCCTTGGTGAAGAAATGAAACAAGTCATTTGCCAGGTCTGGGCAATCGATAGCAGTCATTAAATAGATGGCATCTGTCAGAATACATGACGGTACGCAGTCACTTGGCAGAGTGACAGCAAACCTCAAAGCCACGCCGACAGGCGCCACACTGGATACGTGCACGTAGCCACAGACAATCATA